CAAGAAACTGAAGCCATTGCAAAATATTTATAATTTTTAGTGCAACATTTTGGCTCTTACTATATTTTACTGTTTTCATCGGCCCATAAACCTTCATTAACATTAAAAAATACACACACAACTGTGAGACCTTATGTTGTTGTTGTTGTTGTTGGGGATTGCCTCCGAGTCAAGCACGACGAATGGCAATCTCATGAACAAAAGACATAAATTTATTGAAGTTAATAGGGTTTCCTGACTATATATAATAAAAGTTAGTCTATCTATGCTTAAAATTTGAAATATATATTTAAGTGCATGAAGTTTCTTGTCACAGTCTACAAGTGAATTGAATAGAGCTGTACCTGGCATAAATAAAGTCATTCGCATATCATATATAAACTATATGTAACTTGTCTGGTTGTCAAATGGTTCCTGTGGCAAAGTCGATAGGGAGCTGCACTGACAACTCTGGTGATTTGAGGGAGAAAGATTGGTAATTTCTTCCCAAGCAATTTTCAGCCTCTGTTTTCAGCAAACAGATGAAAGCAGCAAAATATAATAATAGTGAAAATTGTCAACATTGAACTAAAATTTGTAAATATACTGCAATAATTTCAGGTTCTCAAAAGCATTAGCATGAAAGGCTGAAATTTCAGATCAAATCCCATCATAATAATTCATGTTGTAAAAAAAAAAAAACTCTAAGGAAAAGACTCTAAGAAAGAAACAGCTTTCAAGACCTGGAACTATTTCTTTATCTTATTACTACAAAATTTCCAGTGAAAACTCAAGAAGACTTGATATTTTTTAATTTTGTTGCTGAAGAATTTTCAATATACCATGTTCTGCCAAAGGCACAAACAAATCTATCTTGGAAAAAGCACAGTCCAGAATGCTCTTTGGGAGTGAGGAGGGGAGATTGTGTTTCACATGTTATGAGGAGACCATCAGTCCCTCATGGAAGACACCATTCTCATGAACAAGAACGAGGAAGATATACAACAAACTTTATTGACAACGAGAGGCTTGAGCATAGCAGCAATTATAAGGTCAGGGTTTCATTTGCTGTACACACGGTCACTGTGAGTCGGAGTCCACTCTCTGGCACCGAACAAAAACAAGAGCAAACAGCTGAGGACAATGGATACTTTCTTAAAAACAATTATCCAAAAGTCCTTGCCCGTGTAACAGTCACATTTTACAATGAAAATGACCCAAAATTGTTTTTATGACAGCATGTAGGCTACGGTGACAGAAATCTCATTGCTGGGTCATCAGTAAAAATGCAAATGCATATTTAAAAGGAACAATGCCTTTACTTTCCCACATTAATGAAGAGTGCTGTTACGTGTAATCACCACTAACAAGCACATTAGGTATGTCTGTAAGTTTGACTGGTTTGTACAAGAGTAGCCCATTTTGAAATCATTTAAGAGTATCAGTTCATTGAAATTCTGGGGAGCAATTTTAAGTGATGACAACTTGCGATATTTACTTCAAAGACTTATAGATATTTATTGGTTATCCACTGTAACATAACACACACACAAGTAACCACATGCTTGGTAAGGACAGAATCTTTGGTTTATTAATCCCTCGTGTTTAGCACAAGCCGGGAACATGATGAATGTTTCTGAAGTCATGAACCTTTAGAAATAGTTTCCTCAGTGTATGTTCCTCTATACTCCAGGTCTTAAATAATTTATGGAGTATAAGGTTATAAATAAAGTTACAAAAAGACAGTGGTATGATTTTCAAAACATATGCTCTGATACCACATATTAGCAAGAGTAGGGACAGTGACTGATCTAGGCATATAAACTGCTCCCTAGAAATGAGTAAAGTCAAGGCTATGGACCCGTGAGAGAAATAGGATCAGTGAATAGGTGAGGAAACGGAGTAGAAGTTGTTGTTGTTGTTAAGTGTCATCGAGTAGTAGACAACTCATAACGACCTTATGAACGAAAGACCTGAACAACTGTGTAACTTTCACAATTTCTCCAAGTTCATAGAGTTTCTGGAGGCAAGCTATTCTGGAAGTGGATGCCACTCCCGCTGTGGCTTGGTTTTATCCAAAGCAGTCGATGGATGGAGGCCACATTTTTGTAACATGTTTCCTTTCAGGTTAGATGGATTTGCAGACAAAAGTCCTAACTAAAACTTCCTACATCCTCAACACCTTGCCTTCTATTCAGAACCAAGTCATGGCTGACTGTCCTGTAGGTGTTTTCAGAGTCTGTAAACAGCACCTTAGAAGATTGGCCAGATCCTGGGCACTGGATTCAAACCGCCTGCTTTGGGATTGGCAGTGCAAATCATCACCCACTAGACCATCAGAGTTCCTTCTAAGACTTTGCTGTTGTGATGTTCTGTTGAGTGGGAACTGACCCATAGCTGACCCTCCAGTGGGTTTTCAGGGGCGGTTAATTGCATGGGAGGAGATGGCCCATCCTTCTGGGGAGAAGCTGGTGGATTCTTACTTAGGGACTGTGTGCCTTCAGGATTGCAGCATAGTTTCTTGCTAGCAGGCCACCAGAAATCTGAGGAAGGTGAATTATGTATTTGAGATTTGCTGAACCCTATTTATAACATTATGTCAAAAAGCTTAACTAGTCTTCTCTAAACCCTGTGAACTTTGATAAATGTTGATACTTGTAGAGGGGGTTCAGGCCTTTTGTTCATAGGGTCACTATGAGTCGTGCTTGACTCGAAGGAAGGCAATCAACAACAACAACAACAGGCTGAAATGAGTCAATGTTGTGTTGTTTGTTTTAAAGTGTTGGAATATTGTAGCAAGAAGTAGCCAAATATTCTATTTGCTAAATTTCTGCACTTAGAAAAAAAATCCTGGTGAAGCTTTAGTGTCAAATGGATTTAAAATATTTTTCCTAGAGAAAGGAGAAGAATTGTTTTTGTGTCAATTATTTCAGCTCAGTGATCTTTCCCTTTGGTAAAGAAAAATTGATAATTTGATGGTAATCTTCCTTAGTCAATCCCATAAATGAAAACAAAACCAAAATACCAAAAAACCTCACTGTCAGCTGGTCAGTGTAAACCTATCTTGACCCTCCACTGGGTTTCTGAGACTTTCAAGCATAATTTGAGAAGGCTGTCCGTCTTTCTCCTTGGGAACCGATGGTGGATTAGAACCCAGAGAGTCATGCAGACTTGGGGTATGCAACTTTTTATGCCACGAGAGTGACAGCATCAGCTCCGTAACTGAACCAAAACCATCAAGTAGAAATTCCTTCTAAGAATTATTAATGTGCAGGGTTAAAAAGAAATCATTTTTGTAATAACATATTTAATATATCAAGGATTGACTATATAGAGAGCAATGCCAATATTTATGAAAATTTGAGATTTGGAACCAAAAAGTCCAATATTTATTTAGTTGAAGGTGTCTAATCTTAATTCATAATTATGATTAAAAGCAAGACTGGAAAAATCTATGTAAACATATCTGTCAGATAAGCAGTGACGTGTTAATAGAAGTATTTAAAGACAGGAAAAGACCTTCTGAAACAGGTGACTGACTGGAAATTTTTGAAAAAAATGTTTAATATCAATAAAGAATTTAAAATGTTTAATATCAATAAAGAATTTAAATTAAATTTAAAGAATTCTTAATTTTTTACGTGATAATGACTCGATCAATTTGAAAAAGTTTTTTTCTTTATAAAATTTTGTGAGCTTTCCAGAGTGAGCAATAAATAATACCCAGGCACTTTCTTATTCACAAAGCAAAACTTTGCAGTTGTCACAGTATTTCTATTAAACCAACTAAGGCAGTTTGTGATTACCTATAATTTTTATTAACCTTTCATTTCCTGAACATTAATACCTGCAATGACACTTAATTTTAAACTATTTCTCATATTTCATATCCATTTTCTACCAGAATAATGAAAAATAAGGCATTTATGAATTATTTTAGGGTTCTTCTCTTGTCATACAGCACTAAGCTAATTTCACTTACTGAAACATTTCTGGGAAAGTGGCTATATTTTAAAGTATCTTAGATAAGTTTAAATAATAATTTTGCATATTCTCTAGAGCTATGGTGTTCAAATAGATAGCTACTAGCCATAGTTAGCTACTGAATGCTTGAAATGTGGTTATTGTAACCAAGGAACTGATTTTTAAATTGTTAATTTTATTTATTGGAAAACCTATAAATGTGTTTAGACCATGCAGGGCGCTCAGGTGGTTAAGTAAAACTCAGCAGTTCAAATCCACCAACCTCCCCTAGTGGGAGAGAGGCAACTATCCGATCCATGGAGTTTTAATGCCTTGGAAACTTTATGGGGCTGTTCTACTCTGTCCTATAGGGTCCCGGTGAATTGGAATCAACTTGATAGCAATGATGTTTTTTTGAACAATATGGGCTTATAAACATATTTCTTCTTGAAATTGTATGAATTTTAAATATATTGGGTAGTATTGATAAAGATTTAATATCCACATTGAGATGCGTTGTAAGTATAAGAAAATACATCAGATTCTAAAGACTTAGTCTGAACAAAGCAAACTGTCTCATTAACAAATTTTCTACAAATTAAATTACATTTTTTTTTCCTGGCCAGCACTGCTTTAGAGTGATGTGAAATACTGTTACATTTTAAGTTATTTAAAGTATTTATCTTATTGTCTGTGTTTTCAATCACGTCATTTTATCATTCAATTAAAGTAAATCAGATTGTGTGCTTACCCACTAACAACCTGCCTTAACAACTCCATCCAAGTTTTGCACTCTGCATTGCAAAACCCTTACCAACACCAACACCAGAATGCAAAATCATAGGCAGTGAATATGCAGAAGTGGTGAGGGAGCACTGATGAGTCGACAGTCAAATCAAACTGCTCACTCTCTACACATCATAGCATTTCTTCCCCACCAGCTGATCCCAGAGCTGTGTGTCCTTAATTCCAAAGCCAACCTTCTCCGTTCTCCCAAATTCTGCTGTGTATGGCTTCCAGTTTAGAATGACAAGCGATGACTTTGCTAAGATTATTTCTGCTGTGTCATGTGTTAATACTAGATTCCGTCCAGGCCCGAGAACTTTCATCCTTCAGAGTGGAGAGTTTCCTCTGGGAGAAGGGTTCAAGGCCCAGGAGTCTCAACACCGCAACCCGGTATTTCTTGGACATGATATTGTAAAGAATGGGGTTGATGGCCGCGCTGAGGTAGAAGAGGACAAAGGACACCAAGTTGCAGTATTGGCTTATCTGGGCAATCTCCAGGGAGCCGGGATCAAAGGACTTGGAAAATAAGTATCTTCCCACGTGGAAGGGCAACCAGCAGAGGATGAAGGCGAACACCACGACAGCTACAAAGAGAGAGAATCGGTCAAGAAATGTCATAGTAATGTTTTCTTTTTAAGAAATAGCTTCGTTTTGAATATTGACTGAGGGACACACCATTCATTCGCAGGAATCAAGATTGATTCTACCTGGATCAATAGCCGTTCAACCGTTTTAAGTGAGCTTTTTAGTGATTTCTGGCTGAGAAGTAGTTTGTGTGATTTGACTGATTTTAGTTGGGATGTTGCTCAGCTCAGTGGGTTGAACTATTCTGAACATTTCACCATTTTATATATGTTAGACGCAAGCAAATGTATGTGAGGTAAAATCCATCCCTCTAGATCAGACTCTCCTGGGGCACTTTCTGTAAAAATGCAGATTCTTCTGGTATAATATTTGATGTTGTTATGTGCCATTGAGTCAACCGTGACTCATAACAACCTTATGTCAACAGAGTGCCAGCGTGCCCTACCCTGCGCCACCCTCAGACCTCCAACCTGCTTGCACAATCCATTTTATTGAAGGGTCGAATTCAGCTCTCTAAACGTATATCCCTAGGAAGAAGATTAGGTTACTGTCTTTTGTTTCCTCCTTCCTTCCTTTTTAGCATTTCACAGAGGACTGAAAGTACAGCCAGGATTGAGAACCACTGAGGTGAATGAGTCTCGGCTCCTTATAAAATGAAGTAAAACCAACTGATGTTAGTTATCGTCCACCCAAGCCTTCCCTTCACATTATTACGATTTCTAGATTCAACTTCTAAAACTCAGAAATCATAGAGAAGTAACACAAACACCTATTTTCTGTCACCCACCTGCCTCATTAAAGGGCCTATGGCCGACCTGCTTCATTGTGAAAAAAAAAAACAAACAAAAAAACCCCACCTATTTCATTCTTGCACCACTTCAGTGATTCTCTTTGAGTTGTCAGAGGGAAAAGAAACTAACACTGCTATTGAGATATCAAAGAGGAGATAAGGACAGCGTGAGGTCAGACAAGGTGCAGCTCCTTGTTTGTAGGGTCACTAGGATTCACACTCGACTTGGCCGCACCTAATACTAAATTGGAGAAAATGATCAAGCCTCCTGGAAGCTAAGTTGCTTAACAGCAAGTAGCACATGAATCTCAGAAGGTAGAGTTCCCTTGAGGCAACCAGTTAAGTTCACAGTCTCTACCATGAGTCAGGTCAGGAAAATCACTGGCCTTGAAAACGTAAACCTTTCCTATTCCTCAAAAACTCTACTCATTTCATCCCTAAGCTTCTGTGGTGGTTGTTATGTGCCATCAAGTTGAAACTGACTCATATGGGACCCTCCAATGGGTTCTTGGAGGCAATAAATGGCACGTGAGAAGAATGAGTGTCTTTCAACTCTAAAAAGCAATTGAGTCAAACCACCTGCACCTGGACTGGCAATTCAACTCCCTACAAACGAGGTCACCAGATGTATGGAATTGCAAAGATGCGATCATTCTGAAATAGCTTCTGAGAAGCATTAAATGCACACATAAGTACAAAATGTTGACCTCTCCTGTTCCAGTGATAAAATGTAGAAAGCCTAGTTTTGAATCATCACATAGAAAGAATACTTTGCCTGAATAAGACAGTTCTTTATTCACCTGAAGCAAACACATATATTATATATTTCGAGAATATGAATTCAGGCAATAAATATCAGCACATCTTAGTTGATACCTTAGAGCTCTAAATACCGTTGATTTCCGCAAAGAGTTTTTCCTCTTGATGAAAGCCTTGCTATCTAGCTCATCCAATCCTACCTGCAAAGACAGGTAATCTCAAAAAGAAACAGATTCGCTCACTGATATGTCAATTACTTCTTTCCAAAGATGTATAAATAGAAGCAGCATAAACAGAACTGATGCAATTTTCTGTGAAAAAAAAATGCAAGGCAGAAGACAGATCCCAAGAACCAAAGAAAAATGAATCATCTCTGACCAATTACCCAAATCGATCGTGTCTTTGGTTAAATTTACCCCTGAATACTTTCCGGATTCCTAATTGCTTTTCTCATTGTAACTCACGGATGCACAAAATCTCCATGAGGCTGGAAGTTTACCTCCCCTTAAACGCTTAAAGAGGGCAAACTTTTTTTTTGTGGGCTAGTTCATTTTTGAAGCCAATATTAGGGAATGATTAAAAATTTATTTTAGGAGAACTCACGGACCGGACCGGACAGGCATAATTAAGAGACAGGAAGAAAGAGATTCAAAGAGTTAGACATCAAAGAGACAAGGCTGTGGACATGAAGGAAAGCAGAGACCCCGAGAGTATAAGGATTGATAAAGACCCTCCGTGAGAGTTGAAGGAGTGAGGAAGACCCTGAGAGTAGAAGGAATGAGAGAGGCAAGGCAGGAAGTGCAGGCAGGGAAGGCGGGAAGGACGAGGGCGCGGGCGCAGAAGGGAACCGGAGCGCACACCAGAGCGCAAACAAGGAAGAAACTGGACACACCCCTCACTCACACCAACACGTGCAGACGGTGAAATCGAGAAAGCGAGAGGCCGAGAGCGAGGCAGGAGGCGCAGGGGAGGAGGGGAGGAGGGGAGGAGGCCCGGGGCCCGGGGCCGGCGCGCGCTCACCCAGCATCTTCACGGTTTGCTTGTGGTTCCGGTCCCGGAGCGAGGCGCGCACCGGCGCCTCGCCGCTCCGCCGCCGCCACAGCTTCCTGCCGATGAGGCTGTAGAGCACCGTGAGGCAGAAGACGGGCAGGAAGAAGAAGACGCTGGACACCCACACCATGACGGTGAGCAGCCCCGAGCGCACGGCGAACTCGGTGGGGCGGCACTCGTTGGTGGCGCGCGGGTCGGTGCCGTTCTCGTGCTCCACGCCGACCAGCACGAAGATGGGGCCAGCGCTGCCGAAGGCCACGGCCCAGATGAGCAGGAGCAGCAGCTTCACGCGGCCCTTGGTGACCGCCACCTTGGCGCGCAGCGGGAAGCAGATGGCGAAGTAGCGCTCGACGCTGAGCGCCGTGATGGTGAGCACCGTGGCGTAGGTGCAGCTCTCGCTGACGAACTGGAAGAGTTTGCAGAGCAGGTCGCCGAAGTTCCAGGGCCGGTACTGCCAGAGGCGCACGAGGTCGAGCGGCATACACAGGAAGATGAGCAGGTCGGAGAAGGCCATGCTGGACAGGTAGAGGTTGGTGGTGGTGCGCAGCTCCCGGAAGCGCGACACCACCAGCATGGTGAGCACGTTGCCCGCGACGCCCACCGCGAAGAGCGCCACGCAGGTGGCTGTGACCCCGGCCAGCAGGGGCGCGGGGAAGAGCTGCGCCAGCTCGTCGGCCAGCGAGCCGTTGCTGGGGAGCGCGTCCCAGTCCAGGGCGGCCCGCGTGAGGTTGGCGCCCGGCCGCTCGCTCGGTGTCGTGTTCCACATGCTGCCCCCTCGGCTTTCTGGGCCCGGGGCTCCGGGAGGCGGCTGCGCTGGGAGGCTGAACCCGGCTGGTCCCCGGGAAGGTCCCTGGACACGCGGGAGAGTCCCCGAGAGGAGCAGGCAGACGGGCGCGCACGCGGAGAGGATGCGTGGAGAGGAAACAGAGACGCGAGGGACAGAAGCAGAAAGAGGTAAGGTGGAGAGAGAGAGAGTGTAACGGGGAGGGAGAAAGAGGGAGTGTCAGCTTGCCATCATCCCTGGCACCTCCCCTCGCCCCCGCCTCTACGCGAAAGTGCTTTTCTCCCAATGTAACATCATCTAGCGCGCAGACACACACAGAGAAAAGAAACACACACACTCTC